AGATAAAAAACGTTTATTACTCTGGTTAAACTTTATAATTCCGCTTCCAACTCCCCACCCTCTTCCGGACAAGTTACAAGTTGCTCACCCTTCGGGCACGGAGGACACTCAAATGTTCGTGGGTTGCCCGGTGGTGATGGTGGGGGAGGGGAATGTTGCAGCTTTGAATTAATCGGCGCGTAACTTTAGCGGATTCCCTATCTAAATAAATTGTCTCTCGTTTTATTCCAATTTGGAGTTTTCGAGATAAAATTGCCCTCGATATCGCAAATTTAAAAACTGCCAATATAAAAATTGTACTATGAAAGAATATAAAATTTCGATTTGTTAAATTTTCGAAGGTTAATCAAAAATTCAGAGCCATTTTAAAAAAATGTTGTGCAACAAATTTTACATTACAAAATTAAATTCTATTTAACATGGCTGTAACATAAAGAAAGCGTTGTGTTTTTGATCTCGTTTGCTAGTTCCACAGATTATCACTTATTGCCGTCAGTCATTGGGATGAAAATTTACAATACCGAACAAACAAAAGCGTGCTGGACTGATTTCTATTTATTTGGTGCTGTTAAGAACGATCCACTCCACTTTTCATGCTTTCTTCCTTTTTGATCCATAGGCCTCGAAAAAAATGTAATAGAAGTAAGCGAGACTCTCTGCTTAATTTTTTTCTAGGATTCATATTTCCAGAAAAATTTTTATAATAATATTATCAATTAAAGCCTCGCACACTCTAGGGCTTGCCGTTTTTCTTAAACTGCGCATTTCAAATTAAGGCACCCACTCTAATGTTGTTGCAAAACATATCTAGCTACTAAGTTAGTTTTTTCTAAATTCCAAGTTAGAATCATATCTAGCGTTTTGGTTTGCGTTTCAAGTTATACATTTGCACGTGCCCGCTACATTATAGTACTTACAATTGCTTATGTTGGTCTATGATTCTTGTGAAGCTTTTCCCCTTTTTTCAAAAATCAACTGAAGTCGTCAGAGCAAAAGAATATGAAGTGATCAAAAGAATTATCCGTTCTTCTGTTTGGCCGAAAGAAGAGAAGCAGTTTCTCTACTTCTTGGATTAAGGGTGTGTTGATTTATTATCATTATTTTGATGAACTTATATTTTTTAATCTAATTACATTTTTTAACATTTTCTTACAAACCTTGAGATAATTTTGTACCTTGGAAAATTCTGAACACTCGCAACAATTTGGAACAGTATAAAAATTTTGGATAATGATTTGAGCTAAGCGATTTGAATGGACAAACATTGATATTGAATCATATTAATTAAAGACGATTAATTTATTTCTATTTTTCAGTTTATTAAAGAAATAAAAAACTATTTTTACATCATAAATGAATATGTAACTAAAACTTTACTTTATATGCAACTAATATTTATACATCAGTCTCAAAATTTGAAGGAGGAGTCGTAGATTCTTATTCGTGTCTTATATATTTTTCTATTTTTACAAGATTATTATTTCCACCCCTGAGGTAATAACTAAGCTTTTTTCTTGCTAAAAAAATTCTTTCGAAGACAATCTCTTTCCCCCCCGACTTGTAAAACATGTGCTATCGTTCAGTTCAGCTTTTCAACCATTGACTATTATTTTATAATACCAATTAGCTATTGAATTTTATAATACCAATATTCGACACTTCGAATAACACTGAAAGAAATCAAAGTGGTTGTGTACCACTTAACCCAGATAATGACAAATGAAGGGGTCCAGAACGGACTTTTGCAATATATAGATTTAGCCAAGCCTAAAAGCGGAGCTCCCAATAAGTGAAAACTTTGCAATAAAATTTCTTGACATATATTAAAAATTGTTAGCCAAAAATTCCTTAAACCCATTGACACTTACGTGTACACGTGCCTGTGAAAAGTCAAAATTTTGGAGAAACCAAGAAGCAAACACAGTGCGCCGTAAATTTTTAAAAATCATTACAAAAAACAAGCTCCAGCGAAAGAAGACTAATTATAGAACTTATTTCCGACGAAAAAAGCGATAAGTGCATATTACGTTTTAACTCAAAAATCAAGATGAAAGATAAAAATCGCTAAATATTTTCGCATGTGTGCAAATGGTTTGTGATCGCATTTCAAAAGGGAATATGCGAATTTGTCCGCGAGTGAAGAGATCTCAAGTTCCATGGAATATATGAATAGGAAGCAAGACTAAAATGGCCAAGAAACATTTCGGGACGACAGATTTATTCAAAACAGTTTTCGATTTGCTGTTATAAGCGAAAAACGTACGAATTTCTTGCGTGTACAAAGCCCACGCGCTAAAATTCATCATGCTTAGATCGTTGTTTACTTGCCTTGAAGGCCAGAAATTGCGACGCGTTATGTTGAAAATTCTGAAAAAACTTCAATTTGACGCAAAATCTTCTATTAAA